ACACACACACACACACACACACACACACACACACACACACACACACAAGGTGTACCTCGAGGAACCTGATCGAAAGCCTACTCCAAGTTCACAAAACACATGTAGACTAGATGGACAAACTCCCAAACCGCTCGAGGACCCTAGTGAGGGTAAAGAGCTGGTCCAGTGTTCCACGGTCAGGCAGGCTCTCACTGTTTTCAAGTCTCGTTTAAAAACTCACTTTTACTCCCTGGCTTTCAACCCTGTGTGACTTGATTTTAACTCGTCTGTATTTTATAATGTTAGCCATTTAGTTCTTATCTTTATTTGTGTCTATGTATTTTATTCTGTCGTTTGCTTGTTCTGTTTTTGCTGTACAGCACTTTGGTTGCCCTTGTTGCTGTTTTGAGTGCTTTATAAATAAAGTGGTATGACATTGTTCCTCCTGGATCTGAGGTTCGACCAACGATCAGACTCTCTTCTCCAGTACCCCTGAACAGACGTTGCCATGGAGACTGAGGAGAGTGATGCTGCTGTAACTGGAGCACACCCTCCAGTCCCCCTTTTTGAAGACTGGAACCACCTCCCCAGTCTGCCAACCCAGTGGCGCTGTCCCTGATGTCCACATGACGTTGCAAAGGCGTGTCAACCAAGACAGCCCCACAACATCCAGAGCCTTAAGGAGATCAGGGTGGATCTCCTCAGAGCTTTTTAACGACCTCGGCGACCTCAGCCACAGTTATGGACAGACCAACCCTGAAGTCTCCCGACTCATCTTCCTCCATGGAAGAAGTGCCAATGGGAAGGTCCAAGAAGTATTCCTTCCACCTCCCTATACAACTAGATTATTTTATTAAATATATACATAACCTGTACCAACATTAAAAACTAGTTTAGTGACTTTTACATGTATTTTAATAACATGGCAGAGATGTAGCATTTTAACATTGATGGCATTAAATACACTCAAGTTTTTGTCAGAGATTAAAAATGTCAGATTTTGGAGGCTTGTTGAAAATAAACACCACTTCTTGCATTTGATCTGGCGTTAATCTCCTCAACCAGACTAACTGCGAGCATCTTTTGCGCTCGCTCAGTAAAGTCTGTGCTGCTTCTGCACCTGCAGCTTCTTAAAGGTTTGAATTCCTGGAGTCCGCTTCAGGGATGAAGACGGGCAGATCTGGACCAGTTTTGTTGTTTATCATCGGTGTGGCTTAGAGATCTGGAGTTTGGAGTCTCAGATGTTTTCTGTCGTAGACGAGCTCAGGGGTGTCGAATACACAAATTTACGGAAACCAACTTGAGAAGGGTTCGAGATGGCCACATCCGTTTTGAAAACGGCGCCAGGGTTGGGACTCGCATGAGCAGACGGAACATTCGTGACGTCTTTGAGACATTTCGGAGTGACGCAACTCGTGACCTGGTGTTCTCCTACCTTTACTTGAAGTACCTGAAGCTCTGAAATAACCAAAATGTCAGAACGCCAATGTTTGAGCGAACGTGATGTTTTCTGTCTCCAGACAGTGTGTGCAGTTCTCCTCTGCCCAAGTTCACCACCTCCCCCAAACCCAACAACAGCTACACGTTCAAACGGGAACCTCCGGAGGGATGTGAGAAGGTCAAAGTGTTTGATGAGTTCGTGTAAGTACCTTGTTTTTATTTATGGAACATCGTTCACTGCCCGGTAGTTTCAAAGTAACTTGTTAAATCTGTGGCCAACTGACGGGAAAATATTACATTTATTCAAATGTCACGACTTTTAATCCTGCAGTTGTGTGTTTAAAACAAATAAACAGGAGTTTATTTTATTAAAAAGGAGACGCAGACTCTGGTTTCTCTGAGTTTAACACATGAAGTCATTTCTCACGGTGAAACCACCTCCAGCGCTCGTCTGTTTCTGCATTTTGTAACTTTAGACAAAAATGACTGCAGGTTTAAATGGACCAAAAAGCAACTGGTGTCTGTAGCTGCACGCAGCTCATCCATGCTCGTCCTGCTGGCAGTAACCAGCTGTGTGCAGCATAAATAAGATGGCAAACGGTCATTTAAACAATGGAAGGTCTAATGTTATAATAAAGACTAGGGATGCACGATATTGGATTTGTGGCCGATATGTTAAAACTTATTTGGCTGATAACCAATACTGATATTTTATATACTTTGTCACAACATAGCCCTCTTATTTAGGCTTATTTGCTACAAAAATTGTGTAACAGCTGTAAGAGCTGGTGACATATATTCAATAACAGCCATATGATCTGCAGAGCACTTTAACTTATATTAAATTAAAGGTGTTAAATGTTATTTATTAGCATTAGTCACCTGTGATGCTGTCTCACCTGTGAAGGCTTGTTCCAGGTTCCTATAGCCAGTGTGGATCCTCTGCACTCCTGTGCATGAAGGACAGACTTTTTAAGATCAAAGTTTTTATCTATCCTTTGTGCCGTAAAACTAATGCTAACGAGGCTAACACAACGTCCAAATGTCTGTGGTAAAACTCACCCGAGTGCTATCAGCTGTTAGCACGTCAGAGATGACGGCTTGTGACTCGGGTAAGGCTACGTAGGAAAAATATCTCAGACTGGGGACGATCTAGCGAGGCTCGACGTCGTCCATAAATCTTCAGAATCCAACATCAACAAAAAAAAAACTTCCACACCGCCGACATTTTGAATTTTCCTCTCCGCCGTGATCAGATCAGGTAAGTGCACGTGACGTCATCACGTTGTGCTGCCGCTGCAGACGTCCTCGTCACTGGGTTGTCGTACAAAAACAGCATCTTTTCTGTCGGTGAGTTATTTTGATGGAATGGCCGATGTCCAATATTGAACTTAAACGGTAATATCATCTGATACCGATAATATCGTGCTTCCCTAATAAAGACTAATCTTCTGCTGGCACCAGTAATAATTAGATGTTGCACCAAACAATCTGGAACTCAGGTCTTTGACACATTTTGTACATCTACACGTTTTCTTGAGGTCCTGATGACGCATCTTTGATGTTTGAGCTACACTGTATGAACCAACCACCGTGGCACCAGCACACCAGCAGGGACATGGAGTTGACCCCATTTAGCAGCTCCAGCAGCTTTTCACAAGATTAGAGCATTTCTGTGGAATTTGTCTCTTTGTCCTGTTGAGTAATTCTGAGGTGAAACGCTGGAGTTAGATGAGAAGTTCTGGGTGCTGCATGGGGTTGAGGTGAAGGCTCTGAGGCCCAGCACAACTAACTCCTCAGACCACTTCTTTGTAGTCCCAGCTTTGTGTCCTGGGTCACAGTCATGTTGGAATAAAGAACGGCCCTCCTCACAGTGTTGGTACGGAGCAGAGCTCAAATCCTGACTAAAACATCTGGATTCAACATGTGGCCAAAAATTTTTAGTCAAAGTTGAGCATTTTCAATAAACTGCTTCTGTTATTTTCCAGGTCTGGCACCTCGAAAGGCTTCCCTCTGTTCTCGTGCCCCGACAAGAACAAGGTGAACTTCATCCCCAGGGGCTCGGCCTTCTGCCCCGTCAAACTCCTCTGCTCCTCTCTGTTCTCCCCCATCTCCTCCGTCAGCCCCGGCCTGGGCCCTCAGCTGACCTCGGTCCTGCCCGCGGCACCAGTAGCTGCCTTTTCGGACCCGAGCGGCGACGTGAAGTCCAGCAGCAGCACAGCTAGCCAGAACTCCGACGCCGACGTTGGGAGGGACGGCTCGGCACAAGTACTCCTCACCAGCTAGTCTTCAGGTATTCAGGACCAAACCATCTACAGATGAAGCACCGCAGCTCGTCAGGTGGTTTTACAATAAAAATAAAACTTGCACTCCGATAATCCTAACGTTAGCCAGCGGCGAGTGCCCGAGGTCCCAACACGACCAGCGCCTCTGAGGATAATGGTACCAGCATTTGTGCTTCACCCCGAGGTCCGTTCCTGTTTCAGACGTGATGTTTGATGGTTTGGACTTTGTTAGCGACCTTGGGCACCGTCTCTCCACCCACCACTAACATCGCCTCCTCTGTACCGTGACTGCTCCCTCAGCAGAAATCTATTTGCTTTTTGTGCAACGATGAGAACATCTGCTCTAATTATTGCTCCGTTTAGGGTCGGCAAGTTATTCTGATGAAACGACAAAATCAGCACAACTGCTTTGTGCTCGTGTTTAGTCAGCTGCTCCGTGTTCAACAAGCTCAAATGTTTAGATGTTTGATCGTCTTAAAGACGGATCACTTTGGCTCACAGGGTTAAAGGGCTTCTTTATTTTTACATGTTTGTTTGAATGTATTTGATCCCATGAGCTCTGAGGAAACGGTTTGAGTGTGAGCTCCTCCCAGCAGCCTTAAAAAACAAACTGTCGACATGTATGATGATAATGGATCCACATGGGATCACATGTATGATACTGGATCCACATGGGATC